TTCAGGTTATATTTAACTTCGTGATTCTCTCGTGTTTGCCATTGTTGGTTTTTCTATATCAACGCCCCCCGAGAATCAGAAGTAGCTTCCTTCCAATATGAACAAGATGGCGATTGTCACCGCTTCAGCACTTGTGAGTATTATTCTGAATTCGTTTATGAAGGTTGAATTACACAATGCATTGTCTGCTGCGACGTCTGTCATATGACTGGTCTCGTCTGTCCAGCCAAAATAATCAAATCCTGCAAAGACAATTTTTCACGAATGTTTTTTTTTTTTGCAACAGGTTTTGCTGGTACTGGTATCAACGTCAACTAGCTGTGTACAGCACAAAGGTAACAGTAGAAAAGCATTTATATAAATAATTGCGTAAGAATTGAAGGAATGAAATAGAAGTAAATTGTTTCAACGTTGACCTACGCGGGCATAGACTGCGTCGCTCCAGTTATCCAAAATTCATTTACTTTCTGATGCGAAAACGACAGCTTACATTGCCGACGGAATGCTTCGGAAAGTCGAATTCTAATTTTGAACGGAAATGCACGTTTTGGGGGTTCACTGATGCCGTAGAAGTGTTTTCTATTCAAAACGTTTATTGTCTTTCTTTCCGTCTGTAAACAAAACTAGTGCCTAAACAATTTGTAGATTTTTATTTCTAATCAAATTCTCCAAACGATCTGGTTCGATGGATCGGTCTGGAGTGGCCATTTTTAAAAGGGCGAATAAACATTTTGGAGGTTCTTCACTTTAAGCCTTCGGAGCATTTTGAAACTTGTCTCAAAAATATATTCATATTTTTTCTTTAAATTTTGTGTAACAATACAGCTAAATTAACTTATGAAGATGACATAGATTTCATTAATATCTCTAAATGATTAAAAGTTTCAAAACTTTAAAAATATTTTGGACTTTCTCATACCACTACATTAATTAAGATATAGATTTCTCTGAATATGAAATTTGCACCTTAATAAATATTGGGTACATTTTCGAAAATATTTGTAATTTTTGCGCTAGTTTGAGTTATGTGTGGGCAGTTTTCAATACAAGTCTTACTCAAAAACAGTAATTTTTTCCTTATACTATTGTTACGGATAGTGCTTAATTTACTGAATATGACTCACATGCCATTTTGGTGTAATTTTAAATTTTTTAAAATTATACAAATGTAATTTCTTAAAATATTTCTCACATTGTTAATATTTTGATTATTTCATCTTATACATATTGCTTTTGTGCTTCAAGTGATTTGTTTGTCGAAAACTCATAAGTTTTATGTTAAACTACTAAAAATTGCGCTTTTTTATTTACGCTCAAACGAAATTTTCTCATTTATCTAACCAAATTTTTCAATTACAATTTGCATGATGAAGCAAGATTTACTCTTGTAGAAGATTCTTGAAGTTATATTTCAAGTTATTTATTTTGAATCAAACACCTCTACTAAAACCAGGGCTATGTTTCTCTATCTAATTTATTCTTCAATATTAGATCTTTAAATGATGTCGTGCATCTTTTTTAGTTGTTTAATTATCAAACTAAGGTGAAAAATTTGATTACGTCATGCATTCCCTCTAGCTTTTAACTAATATTCCCTTAATAACATACGTGGAAAACCTTTCACTCCTTCTGCTGATTCTTTACAGCATAGTTTGCAAAATTCGAACCAACTGGTCTCTTTTACACACCGTTGAATTTTGTATCGATGGTGTCTTAAAATCGCCCATAATAGTGGTGCTTTTAATGCACATATTTTCTTGCATTATTTCTAAATTTGCAAAATCCGAAAATTCAGAAAGGAATTCTCTTACAGTGACCCCTATTTTTATAAGGGCTTTTTCGAGAAAATGTTTGCATCGATTACACTAGCTGCGAATTTAAACTTTCCGTTTGTTGCCTAAAGTAAAAAAAAGTGATATATACGATGATGTAATTAGATAATGTCGATGGACTGAATTCGAATTATCAATCTGTTTTCGTCTGTTACATAAAATTTTCTTCCAAAATTACTTTACATGTATTGTATAATTACGCGAATTTTATCTAGAACGTTAATTTATAACACTTTTCTATTTTAAAGGGAAAACAATATTTAATATACACAACTTGCTGAAATTAATATGTGTGGTTGTTGATACATATAATTAGAGTGCTGTTACGTTTTGTCTTGTTTACTTCATTATTGGATAGTTTCAGTGTAATTTTATTTATTTAATATTTAATTATTAATTTATTTATTATTTCTTAATTGAGAAAGTCCGTATGCTCCTTGTTCTTTTATGTTTGTCTTCAGGTATTAAACGCTTTAACATACAACGATAGTCTGCAAGCACAGTGATGCTGCAGCGTCCCAGATATCTCGTTTTGAAGTCCAGCACATCTTGTGAAATCGTTTGCCTTGTTCTTCGTCAAAAATCCTATATTTTCAGAAAAACAAACTGAGAGAGCAGGAAATTAATTTTCTTACTCAGGTTACGTGCAAGTTCCTTGTATTCTTCAGGCGTGTTAGTCACAATTACATTTTGTGTTGTCTGAAGCAATATAATGATGTTTTTGGCCAAATAATTTTTTTTGAAGTCTAGAACCCAACAACTTAGCTAAATTTTTAGAGGGGGCAAGATCCCTCATCAATTCATTTCATTATCTCCTGTTTCAAGCCCTATTTTTTGTAACATGATCCTGATAGATAGTCACAGTCCAAAGTTCCATCACTTCTGCTTCAAAAAACTGTTCAAGATTTTCTGATCGCTCTGGGATTGATACTTGTACATGAGACGCTTGGGGGACAGGTAGAAAGTGTACACGATTTGCTTTTCATTTTTAGAATTGTACCCCCTTGCATCACACGAATAGAAATAATAGTTATTACTGTGGTTTGACTGTACTCTCCAAACCATGGATATTACAAAAGATAGCGGCGGTCTTTTGCCGTTGATCCTATGATGAAGATATTCAATGCTTGCTCTATATACTTTGCGGGATGCCCAAGGGTTACTTTGGTCTCCAAGTTTGATTCCTAAATACGCAAGATACAATTTTTTTACAAAACATGCGTAATATTACACAACACCTACATGAGTAATATTACGCATGTATATGGGCAATGTGTATTTCCTACATATATATATATATATATATATATATATATATATATATATATATATATATA